CCAACCCCTACTATTCTGTGATTCTGTGATTCTGTGACTTCAGAGCAGAGCTGAGCCTCCCAGCCAGGCTCCGGCACGCCCCAGTGTGCTATCTGCTACGCTCACCTGCTTGTACCTTCTGGGTTTGCTAGTTCTGGCAAACAGTGGAAGAGTCAGTGTCCCCTAAGACACGGTGGACAGGCGGTGTTTGGGACAGACAGGGACAGAAAGGCTTCTAAGGAGCAGGAGCTCAGCTTGTCCATAAGGACAGTGCCAAAGCAGCAGCTCAAACAGGCTCACAGGGCCACTCTCTGCGGTGCCTCTCCAGATCCCCGATCCCCCCAAGCCTACCCTGGTTTGCCTGGCTCTTACCTCCTGGATGTCCTCCTTCACTCGGACGTCTGAGGGGTGCATCAGTGAACCCATGACCTTCACATTGCCATGGACCACCAGGGCTTCATCGGGGCGGTCCGTGTTGATGCCAACCCGGCCGTGGTGAAAAACGGTGTCAGGGAGCTGCGCCCGCTGCCAGAGCACGTCGCTGTCGCTCTCAAACTGGCCAGGGTTGGAGGCCTGTGGAGAGACAGGGAAGAGGGGGCTGAAAAGCAGCACGGGGCAAAACCAGGGAGAGAAACACTGCAGTGCTGCTGGGCAGAGGCACTCGGAGGTGTAGACAGAGCGAGGATGCCAGCAGAGCCCACAGACCCATCCCACTACGCACGCTGCAGAAGGACCGGACAGCAGGACAGCCCACGGGTGACCGACGGACTTCAGAGAGCCCCACGCTGCTGTGGTGGCCTGGGCAGTGCCAGGCACCCTACGGCAGCAGCATCTGTGCCATCCCCGTTCGTAGGAGTGGGAAGCAGCTGCCAACCAAAGCCTGGCAGAAGCACCCAGGAGCAAGGGTGTCCTTGCTCCACAGCAGGGAAACAGATGGGGAAGATCTTGGCTGAAACTGGGGCATGTTCTTCCAGGTACCCTGAGAAGCTGGAGGGGCCTTTTGGGAATGAACAGAACAGGTCGTGAGATCCTGGCACGGGTGCCCTCTCCAAGCCCGCAGCGCACCCAATCCCAGCCCTAGGAAGACCTCGAGGCTGAGGTGCCGCAGCCCCAGCCTCACGGGAGGGACAGAGCCAGCAGAGGACAAGCAAGGCCACGGAGGTGCGAGACGGAGCTTTGCAGCTGCCCAAGGCGAAGTGGCAGGGGGGGGGGGCCCGAACGGATCCCGGCCTGCCCTGCCAGCAGAGGCAGCCTTGGTGTTCATCTGTTGGCCCTGCAGGAACCAAGGCCGTGTCTGCTCTGCTCCTCTCCTGAAAGGAATATCCTTGCTTTCTGGAGCTGTCTGTTCTCTCAGCTACCAGAGCTGCTCCAACAACCCCAACGAGAACCACGCAGGACAGCAGGAGACCCAGTGACCTGGTTGTTGCTCCTGGGTCCCAAACCCTGGGGTTATGCCCTGCAGCCGTGGTTCTGTTGAGATGGGGCAGCCCAGACTGCCTGCAAATCCCTTCATTTCTGGGCTGGGCATCCTGGAGGCTGCGTAATTCATCGTGGACTTGTGTGCAGACTCCGAGGTTCCTCCGTTTGTGTTTTACTCCCCACCTCCACGTCTCGGAGCTGAGTGCTCCGGCAGAGCCCCGGGAGAGCCGGGGGACGGTGCCTCTCTCTCCCCGCTCCTCCACGTTTGAGCTCTGCTGCCTTGGCACACGCCAAAGGTGCTGCCCTGGGGAAGGTCTCCAGTCCTCCTGCACCTGGAGGCCTTGTCCCTGCTCTAGAGTCTGCTCCCTCGCTCCCAACAGCTCTACCTTGGACATTGGTCCAACCTTGGGAGAACGGGACGCCTTCCCTGTCCTGCAACAGGTTCTTGCACACCCTGAGGCCACTCTAAGCAGTGGTGGAAAGGCTGGAGCCAGAACCCAGCCATGGGGATGGGGCCAAGCTCTTTTCAGTGGTGCCCAGCGACAGGACAAGGGGCAATGGGCACAAACTGAGGCACAGGAAGCTCCAGCTGAACCCGAGGAAGAACTTCTTCCCTCTGAGGGTGACTGGCCCAGGCTGCCCAGGGAGGTTGTGGAGTCTCCTTCTCTGGGGATCTTCAAGCCCCGCCTGGACAAGGTCCTCTACAGCCTGCTGTAGGTGACCCTGCTTGCCGGGGGTTGGACCAGATGACCCACAGAGGTCCCTTCCAACCCCGACCATCCTGTGATTCTGTGAAAGGGACAGTGACAAGCAAGGCACTAAGAGTTTGGAGAAGGTGGGAAAGGGCTGGGTGGGGAAAGCACCCCAGAAGAAGGTGGGCGGATTGCCCGCGCCATGCGGCAAAGGCCTGCGGGGCACCTGCAAGGGCTGAGGGAGGAGAGAGGGACTTACTCTGACGATGATGCGCTCCGAGATGTGGGCTGCCAGCGTGTAGTTCTGGTTCTGCGCATGCGCCTGCAAGGCTACCACGAGCATGAAATACCTGAAAAGAGGGCAGAGGGGTCAGGCCACCACCCGGCGCTGGGACCTGCCGACTCTGCTTCCACCAAGCTTGGCACATCCCCTCTCCTCGTGCTGTCGGGCAAACCTCTCACAGAGTTGAGGAACCCCTTCTTGCGGCCAAAACAGACACCTCCCTCCACATAGACAAGGATGGCCAATTCAGGACCTGTCCCCACACGTCCCCCTCCCTCCAGCCACACTCCTCAGCCGAGGGACTAGCACATCCACAGGCCTCGAGTGCTCAGAGCAGCTTGGAGAAGGCACCCGTGCTCCTCACCTCTGGTCTGGGTTGGGCTTGCCCTTCTTCCGCATGTTGTTGGCTGTGGTCTCGCTGAAGTGCAGCCGCCCCACGGTGACCTTGGTGACCTGCTCCGGAGGCAGGTTGACCCTGAGGCAAGGAAAGCAGAGGAACGAGTGAGGACACTGCTCAAAAGGAGGTTCTCTGGGGAACGGCCATCTCCTGGCGCGCTCCACCAAGGCAGGTCTATGAACCAGGCACAGAGCAGAGTGGGGAACGTAAGGAGAGGAAAACTTTGCTGCGGGAAACAGAGAAAACTGGAGAGTGTGACGCCCACAGCACTATCCTGAGCCTACTATAACAATACAATAGACATATTCTATCAATAAAAGATCTATTAGCAATATCTTGCTGTTGCTTATTCCCTGGTGGCACTTCCCCACGCGAACACACCCCGGGCAATACTCACGTGACGGGGTTGAAGGGCCGCTTGCTGCGGTCGGACTGCGACTGCTCTATATTGATCGACTGGTTCAAGGCCTCTAGCTGGAGAGAAAGATTTGGGGGTGTGAGAAAGAGCAGCGAGCTGAGACCTTCCCTTCCCACCTCCTGCTCCCCAGCACAGGCCAGCTGTCTGCCCAGCACGACCGACTGGCAACACCCAACTTGAGCGTGGCCGTTGCCCAAGGATGGGTGCCTCCCTCGGCGGGGGGGTAGCTGAGGGTGAAAGGCTCTTCCCAAAGTGCCTGTGTACCTCCAGAGTCCAAGGCGAGCGAGAGGCAGCCCTGAAGACACCGAGGCAGTAATGGAGTCCATCTCAGGACTCGTATTTCAAGATCTGCCTTGTTCTGGCCTTCAGCACTCTCCTAGATGCTCCCCTACAACCTAGCACGTCAAGACACGGCGTCGCCTGACCCCAGCCATCTGCCAAGCGCCCCTTCTCCTTCACTACGGGCCCTCAGCTCCCGCTTGCCTTCACTCCGTGCAGCTTCAGGTAGAAGCACTCTAAGGGTTTCAGGCCCTCGGGGGTCTTCACATACTTGGGATCTCCAAGCATGCCGATGTAGACCGTGACCTGGAAGTGATTCTTCTTCTGGCACACAAAGGCGTCGTCACCGACTGAGAAGTTGAAGCCCTTGTCAGCGTCTACGCGGTACGTGAGCATCGGGCTGTGGAGAAGGCAGCAGGCGTTAGACCGGAGCCCTGTGTCCACCACGAGAGGTTCGGGGGGCGGGGGGAGCCACACGCCCAGGAGCAGAGGCAGCGGGGGGTCCGTTGGGCAGGGCTGGGGGGCCAGGTCACCTCCACGTCCCACCACGCGTGAACAGCGACTGCATCGTGAGCAGTCCCACAGAATCACAGAATGGTCGGGGTTGGAAGGGACCTCTGTGGGTCATCTAGTCCAACCCTCCTGCCCAGGCAGGGTCACCTACAGCAGCCTGCAGAGGACCTTGTCCAGGATGGTCTTGAATATCTCCAGAGAAGGAGACTCCACAACCTCCCTGGGCAGCCTGGGCCAGGGCTCCATCATCCTCAGAGGGAAGAAGTTCTTCCTCATGTTCAGCTGGAGCTTCCTCTGCTTCAGTTTGTGCCCGTTGCCCCTTGTCCCACCTCACCGCATGCTGTGAAGGCCACCTCTACGCACACATACAGCCGTAACACACTGCTGGCACATGGGAGGGGAAGGAGAGCTGTGCTGGGGCAACAGAGACAGCCTCTGATGCTGTTCCTCAAGCCCCGCACCGATGCCGCTCTCGGGTGCCCGCAGGGCCGGCCGGCACCGGTAGGCGCTGCCTGACGTGAACCCAACATCTCACCTAAGCCCCTGGCAGCAACCCATCCTGCTGTGCGGGGATGAGAGCTTGGAGAAGGTCCATCCCTCCTTGAAGCTGCAAGTTTTCACACAATCACAGAATGGTCGGGGTTGGAAGGGACCTCTGTGGGTCACCCAGCCCAACCCCCTGCCCAAGCAGGGTCACCTACAGCAGGCTGTAGAGGACCTTGGCCAGGCGGGGCTTGAATATCTCCAGAGAAGGAGACTCCACAGCGTCCCTGGGCAGC